ATCACATATACTGTGAAGTGCATGTAGTTGATTTTTTTTAAAGTAACTGGTGTGGAAAAAACAGTAAAAAAAGCATTTCACCTTAATAACAATGAAAAATACATTTTTCAAAACATAAATATAATGTTATCTAATGTTAACAATAACTTATACGACATTACTGTACATTTCTACTCCCTAAAACTAAAGAGCCTCATTTATTTTTAAAGGCTCCTRGATAGATTTGTTCATTGAATCCGTAGATAAATGAATTCAGAGTGTTTCACAAAGTTCCCTGTGGAGTTCTTTTGTCTCAGAGCCGCTTCAATAATTGAAACTGTTGACACTTCAGAAGTGCTCTCCCCTCTGCAGTTTGTTCTGCCTGTTAGATGCAAAATACTCCGTGTTGGATGTGTGGTCTGTTAAACGCTGGGTAAATATCTGTGGGGAGGCGCTCGCGTCATAATACTGCAGTAACTCAGCGGCAAAGGCTTGTGAATAAATTATACCTGAACTCCACTCAGGCCTGAGAGAGCGCTCGTGTTTAAACAGAATAAAAAAACAAAAACGCTTCGGACAACACTTTTAGGAGTAAAACATCCTTTGGGATTCTGTGTTTTTCTAACCACGAATATATTTTTATGATTTTATTCAGCGACGATTCTGCCACATCAGCTTTTTTCATGTGGCTTCTTCCTTTGCAACATAAATCATGTTGAACACAGACAAATGCTTTAAAAGGCAGGTTTTTTTCCCACTTTGCATGAAAAGCAAACAGAAATCCCTGCAGTCTTTACTGTTTTAAGTGAAACAAGTAGTCAGAGCCAACAAAAAAGTGAGCTCTGAATAATAAATCATGCTTTAATACACTTGCCTGAACAATTAGAGCTGAATATGGAGCAGAAAACTTTTTCACAAAAATGTATTTACTTGTTTTTAAAGCAATCAATCTCACTCATTCTGCACATGTCACAGTTTTGACTCATGTTAAATCAGGAACATACGGTAAAATGAGTTTAGTTTAAAAAACAACAATAAAATACAAGACACTTATAAAGTTCAATGTGTTAATGAATTAATAATGATGGAGCTAAGTTTTTCAGTGAGACCCCCTTCACCTTGAACACTGACCCTGTCTTTTAGAAATGGTCCGAACTGCCACGCCGTTCCCCATGGTCTCCCTGCTGTTCGTTTTCACCGCCTTCGTCATCAGCAACATCGGTCACATCCGGCCTCAGCGCACCATCCTTGCCTTCGTATCCGGGATCTTCTTCATCCTCTCAGGTAGATTAAAAAATAAATAAAACAAGATTAAAGTTTCCCAACTTTCAGATGCTGGATGACGTTTTATGTACCTATGGGGCCATTTATTTGCATTATAAAATTGCGCTCTTGTGAAGAGCAGCTGTGTTTGTTCACAATCAAAACCTAATTTGTGTGGAAACTGTGCAGTTGTAGTTTTGTGTGAAAGAGACAAAACTGTCCAGTTTCTTGCCAAATAATGAGCCAAATGTGTTCATGTACGTATTACATCTAATKGTGCTACATTAAACGTTTCACTCTAGGTTTCTACATTGTAAACACAATAATGTGTTGGAAATGTATTATTATTAAGTGTAAAACAGTACACTGTTAATTAATCAATTTATTTGAAAGGGTCCTCATTAGTCTTTGCACAGGCAGACACTACTCTTCCTGAGGCCCAAAACACACCAAATAAACCACATTAAAAGAGAAACAATACAATTAACAATAAAATTGAATCAGAAACAGCCAGTRCAAACCTTAAAGGTGACATATCATGTAAAATCAACTTTTTTGAGTTTTGTAATCACGTTACAATATTATTTTCTCATAAAAAAACAAGCCCAAAGCCTTGCTTTGACTCATTCATGCATGTTTGAGAAACCCTGCAGTGTTTTTAGGAAGCCATGCTGAGGAGCAAAACGACAGGTGGGGACCAGAAACACCTTTTGGGACCAGAAACTCCCCTGGGACGTGTCTTTAAGCCGAACTTCCTCATGGCAGAGCACACCCCCTCCCTGTCCCCCTACCCAACACACCCCGCCCATGACTCCTGCAGGCTCTCGGGTCAAAGTGAAAGTGAAACCTAACTGTCTGCTGAGCTCTCAACATAGTGAAGCTCTTTTCAGATTAAAAAATAYCTTTGAGGAAATGTATTTTCAGATGCCAAATAAACTGCATCATGGCAGCTGCATAGGATTAATTGCTGCATTCAAACATTTATGTTTAATATTAACAAAGCCAAGTAAAATGGAAACAAATGTGCTACAACACAATTATAAATATGTTTACAGAAAGTCTGGATGTCCAGGTGACAAGAGTCAGATGTTGTTTTGTGCTTCCTCCATGTGAGCTGTGGAGCCATAATCCATCTGGAACACCCATTTTAACAACATCTTTGTGGCGTTCCTGATGGTGGGCTTGTTGTCGAGAAAAGAGATTCACTGCAGCCAAGAGGCTGACATCACCTCCTGGTTCCTCTGCAGGGCAGCACAATGACAGGCATGGGTCACAGGAGTAAAAATGTTGATCAGCTGAAAGGATTACTAGCGTTAGTTGGATTGCGTTGCTAATTTCAGCTCCTCACAGGTAGAATTGTTCATTATTAATTTATTACTATTTTTGTATGGATGCTGTAACATAACATATGCTAGCTTAGCATGGTGACTGCTGACAGAGCACATGATGTCATAATGTCACCAAGCCAACACGAAGAGAGAGGCATGTTCACACACGTGCATAAATATTCTAGACTTAGTCTTTTTAAAAAAAAATAATTTATTTCATTCTTTTTTGTCTAAAAAGAAAGAGAAAGAAAAAAGTGAAATGTAATGAGAGAGTGAAAGAGATTAGAAGATATGTGAAATATATGTTGAGATTTTATTTCATTCCTTACACACAGACACACTCACACAGATAGATAATGTCCACACACACAAAGCTCTTACTGAACACATTTAGTTACAACACTGCCATCTACTGGCCAATAGTGGGAAATGCATCTTATGCTTGATTTCTTTTTTTTTCTGAATTAAATTAAATTTGAAATTAATTTGAGTTACCAGAATTTGAGTAACAAAATGACAAAATTAGCACGGACACACACACACACACTCACATACATATTTATATTTATATATTGAATAATTCAGAGGCAACTAAAAATGACCATCAGGAAAGCTAAAAAAAGCTTAWGTAGAAGCTCCAGCCTAACAACATGTGGTTGTTTTGTTGCGACAATCAACATTGAGACAAACAAAATTGCAGGTTTCAGGTCCACTGACTTAAGAGGAACAGAGGAGTGGAGAGCAACGTGGACAAAGCCAACGAGCTAAATCTGTTCTTTAACAGATTTGACACAGCGGGATCCATCCTCCTCTGCCTGAGCTCTTCTGATGACCCTCAGCAGTCATTTCTTCTCACTCCCCCAACCCTCCCTGAGAGCCTGCTCACCTCAGCCCACCTTACACCTTCTTTACCCGTCTCCTGATGGTGTCCCCACACCCATACCACCCAACTTTGTACTGCAACATGTCTTCAATATGAGCCTGAACCTCCAGAGAGTCCCAGTGATAAGGAACACATATTGTGTTGTTCCCGTTCCAAAAACTTCACAACCCAGTGACTTAAAGGCTGCAGGCCAGTGGCTCTGATGTTCCACATCATGAAAACCACGAAGAGGCTCATCCTGGAGCAGCTCCAGCCCATAGTCCAGGACCCTCTTCATTTTGCATTKCAGCCCCACCCAGGAGTACAAGATGTCATCGTCTACTTGCTGAACTGAGTTTACGTCCACTTGTATGGGATAACAGAACTGTCAGAAAGAATTGTATGTGTAAGAGTCTAAATTTGTACATGTAAGTCAATAAACGTGCATACATTTTAGATTTGTACAATAAACGTGCATAAATTTTATATTTGTATTTGTATTCATGTAAAATCAAATATGTTTTCTGTGAGAAAATAAGTTTAAAAGTTACAACTTCACAACATTACAAGTACGAATCACAAATTTACAAGTACAATTCTTTTACCCCAAGGATAACAGACATTATGCATGGAACACTGAAAAGATCGATTGCAAACAGTAACGAAGCCAGACCACTAGGGGGAAATGACCACTGCCTCATTTGCAACCAGACAAACTCTTTGTAAACACAACAATGTGCTGAAGGGAAAAGCATTTGAAGGCTTTGGTATTAAATAGAAAGCATATTTGATTTTACATGAATACAAATACAAATCTAAAATTTATGCATGTTTAGTGTACAAATCTAAAATTTATGCATGATTATTGACTTACATGTACAAATTTAGACTCTTACACATAGTATTGTTTCTGACAGTTTTGTTATCCCATACACCTGGACAAGACCATTTATCGCTACAGCTTGTCTCTGTGTTTGTTTCAGTGGTCTCGTTCTGTGTGAATTTGTTAGAGATCAGTTGTAGATAATGTTATAAAGTAATTCTGGACTTAAACCAGATGTTTTTTATCTGATATAAAAAATATTTCATTCATGCAAAAGTAAATAATGTGCTTCTTGTAGTGACAGTTTTGAAATGAGCACAACAAAACTGCAGCCCCCTCTTGAGACCCCACATAATAATTAAAATAAACATGCCTGGTTAATTGTAAAGTGTTTTCTAATGCAGCATGATGACGCTCTAGATTAGTCTGACAATACATTTGAGTGTTATTTGATTTTTAAACACATTTAACATCTTTGAGTTTTATTACAGATCTTTCAGCAGCTGCTACTTTGAACGGGGCTTCATTGTTTTTGCAGCATGTTGTWTTTTGGTGCACTCTTTCATATGTGTGTGTGTGCGTGCGCGTGTGTGTGTGTGTGTGTTTTACCCGTGCATGTGACTTCATTTTCTTTTATCTCGTTGCCACAGAACTCCCTGTTGTCAGGGGTTTTCTCAGCCTTTTTAAAGTACAGCCAGGACATGTTATCATTAGCTTTTCTAGCTACACACACACAGATCACACAAAGAGGCAAATGTCCATTGCATATAAAATTAACAAAAAAAA